TCGTCTTTGGATGAGGACCTGTCTCTACATAACATGTAGAATTAACTGCTGTGCTTTTCAGAATCTTTATATACACGAATGTTATTGAGAACCTTGATAATAGATGCCTATCTTATTCAGTTTTGAATTCAGAGTCTGTTCCCTTTGATTCTTCATGCTTTACAGTGGGTGCTGTGTCTTTTTCCCCCTAGCACTCAATAACCATCGATAGCAGCACCAGTGTGGCATGAGGAGAAAAATTGCACTCGAGAAAAGCATTACAGACTTGTTTCTCAGAGCTTGTTATGAGGCCATGGCCTTAAAAACATCGTACTTTGTCACAGGAAGACATGAGTTACGTGGGCCCCCTTCGGTGGCCATAGAAGCAGAAGCTTGACGAATGCGGTGCTTCTCGATTGCGTTTTATCCGTATGTGAGTTAAAGCACAGTTGTACATATCCATCAACGTGAGCACAAAACCGAACCATTCATTTTCCATTCAACTTGGACTTGAAAGTAAAATCAGCACTTATTAAGTGTCTACCATGTGCTCAGTGTTTTTACATGTGATTTTCAGAACCACCTTTCAAGATAGCTATTATTTATATGTGGTTTATAGGGAAGCTCAAATAACTCACTCAGATTATGCATAAAATGTGACTCCTTCCCAGTGGCTCAGCTGATTGAACATAATCCTCATCATCCCCTATACCAAAAAGGTTGCTGGTTTGATTCGTGGTCAGGTCACATAACTGGGTTGCAAGTTTGATCCCCGGTTGGGGTACATACGGGAGGCAACCAGCAAATCTCTCTTTCTCTCTCAAATCAATAAAACTATCCCCAGGTAAGGATTTAAAAGAAAAAATAATAATAATAATAATACTCCTTTTCTGATTCTTCTGAACTCCATCTGCAGTAGACTTAGGTATGTCTGGGAACTGCTCCCTTCACATCTGCTATATATTTCTATAATATCACATCAACTTGTTTTGTTTGTTTTTTTATCCTCACCCAAGGACACTTTTGCATTTATCTTCAGATAGAGCAGGAGGGACTGAGGGAAGAAGGGAGAGAGAGAAACATCAATGTGAGAGAGACACATCAAGTCGTTGCGACCCACATGACCCCAACCGGGGCAGGGGACAAACTGCAACTGACATACATGCCCTTAGCGGGAACCAAACCCGGAACTCTCCAGTCTGTGGGCCAACACTCTAACCGCTGAGCCAAACTGGCCAAGGCTCACATCAACTTGTAATTGTTTATGTTATTCCCCCTGCCCACATCCTGACTGAACAAAGGATAGTTAACTGAATCAATGATCAGCATACGTTTCTTCCCAGAGGTTGTAGTTAGGGTTAGTTTTTCAGGCAGAAATTCTGAGAAAAAAAAAAAAAGATGTATTATTTTATGCCTAAAAATATCTTTGTAACATGTAACATATGTGATGATTATGACGCATAGGAATAACTAGAAAACTGATCTACCCAGAACTCAGGGTAATCCCATGCCCCACCCCAGGGTTAACCATTTTCCTGAATATTGTGTTTAATGTTTCCTTCTATTTTAAAAAATAATGCTTTCATATTCATATGTTCATAAAATTATAGGGTTTAGCCTTGCTTGTTTATAGATTTTTAATAACATTTGTTGACTAAATGGATGGATATTTGGTGTCTTTCTCAGCTATCTATTTCTTTAAGGAGAGTGTCACACTAGTAAAAAGAGAGAAAACCTCTTTTTAATTAATTTTTCAGCTCAGTAAATGGCACAACCTCCTCACCAGTTACTTAAGCCAGGTGCAAATCAGCCCTGATGCCTCCGTCTCAGTCCTCACCCCCACCTCCAGCCTATCTGCAAATCCTGCCCTCCAGTATGTGCCAGTTTGACCACTTCTCTCCCTCTCTCCCACCACCACCTGTCTCAGCCATCCTGCTCTTGTGCTTGGAAAGCTGTGATGGCCCCTTTTCTGCTTCCGCTCTTGCTACCTTCAGTCTTTTTTCATCTTGTAGCCAAAGTGATATATTTTTGAAACATAGTCACATCATGTCATTTTCATACTTAAAACAATAAGTGGTTTCCCACTGTAGTTAGAACAAAACCTATCCTTCTTACCATGTCCTGCAATTCTCCATGTGCCATGACTCCTCCCTAACCTTGACTTAATCTCCATCTCCTTACCTTCATGCGCATGACACATCTTTCACCCGGGGATTTGTGCTAGCTGTTCCCCTACCTCCATGCTTTTCCCCAGGCTCATTGCATGGCTGGGTCTTTTGAAACAACAAATGTCACCTCCACACAGAGGCTGTTTCCGACCACCTCAATTAGAGTAACAATTCTCTCTTCCTTCACATTTATCACGTTCAGCTTGTTGACTTGTTTATTGTCAGTCACACTTCTCTTAAAGCATGAGTTCTGTAAGGGCAGGTATCTTAATTTTTTTAAAGAAAATATATTAAAATGGTACAAAAGATTTGTAAAAATATATATATATATACATACACACACACACACGTATATGTATATATACATGTTTTTATTGTTGACATATTATAGATGCCCTCCAGTGACCCCCTCTCTACTCCCCTCCTCCCAGCCCCTAAGCCCCCAGACCTTCATCACACTATTGTCTATATCCATGGGCTATGCATATAAGGATGTAAGTTTTTTGGTTTATCTTTTCTCATTTCTCCCCTCTGAAATATGTCAGTCTGTTCTGAGATATGCCTCGGGACTTATTTTGTTGGTCAATTCATTTTGTTTATTAGATTCCACATATAAGAGAGATCATGTGATACTTGTCTTTCCCTGATTGGCTAATTTCACTTAGCATAATTGCTACAGGGGTATTGCAATAAGGAAAAGAGACTGCTCTTAACCCTGAATACAACCAGAACAAGTGGGATTTATAGCCAACCCAGGGAGTGATGAGCCAGTAAATGGGAAGTTACTAAGAGCAGACATCAAGGGTAAGGGGATTCTCAAAGGTGGAGGATGAAGGGCCTGATCAGATATCAAATGTGGGGGATAGGATGGGGACTAAGGTTGAGGCTTAGTCAAGTTGAGAGCTCAGAGGAGCCTGACTGAAGTTTGGTCAAGGAGAGTCTTTGTGAACTACTTGTTCTCTTTTTGTGTGCCTCTATAACACCATCTGATAGTAATGCATTATGTTGTGTATTATATAATATGATGCATATGATATTACTTTAAAATATAATATTAAAAATTCAAGGCACGTGTAAATATGGAACATTTCTAGTAGCCACATTAGGAAAAGTAAAAAGAAACAGGTGAAATCAATTTTAATCACATATTTTATTTAATCCCACATCCAACACGTTATTCATCATTTCAATATCTAATCAACATAAAAGTATTCATGAGTAATTTACATTTTTTGGTGCCAAACATCAAGAAGCCCATCGTATTTCACACTCACAGCACCTCCCAATTCAGACTAGTCACATTTCAGAAGCTGCCCGGGCCCATAGTTACTGTTTTGAACAGTGCACCCTGGAGGCTACAGCAGTGACCACACGCAGGTATACAACAAAAGTCCATTGACTGAATGGGTGAATGAATGAGTGAATTCAGAATAAAATCTACCACAGACCTGGCAGTTTTCTTCCCACAAGCATTCAGAATGTGTAGGTGCCAAGTTTTACTCCAGGGTCATGCATAGAGCACGTGCTGCTTGATTTGGGGCAGATTGGCTATTTCAGATAATAAAGGACTGCCACATCTCAGATATGATTAAACTTTTCACTCATCCTTGTTCAATAACTGCTGCAAGGTAATGATGGAAGAAACATGGCTATAAATTTCGTCCACAAAGATGTTGATGCAACTACAAAGGTTTTTTTGGCAATTAGATGCTGTTTTCGTACATAAAGTCTTTTTTCCTTCCAAGTGTAAGACTGCAGTTTTCACATGCTCTCTGCAACAAGATTTTAAGTATCCAGTTTTCTTTTGTTCCTGTGACTGTATCACTGGCTTCTATACTAAGTAAGCTACAGGTGATGGCATTTGGCGTTGTTCATTTACCGCACAATGTCAGAGCAGTGAGAGCTGGATTCTTCTGGAACAGTAAGAGGCCTGGGTTTACTGCTTTGTGCGGCCTCGGGATTTTTCTTTTCTCCAGTATTGTTCTTCCCTCATTCAATGTGTTAAATTAAGTACAAGGAATGATATTTGTTTCCTATTGACCACACAGTCAGGGTGTGTCTGTCTAATTTTCTTCCTATTCACACTAGGAATACTTTCGGCTGTAGAATTTATCTCCTCCGATGAAATCTGTGTGGTTTTCTGAAAGCTGTCATATCTGAATCAGATCAACTAAATACCCATGAAAACACCCAAGAGTCTAGAAGACTCATGAATATATTTATCTGATATGCTATGTCACATATAGTTTCAATTGATAGCTTTATAAATCCAGGTTTTAAAAAGAGATAGACATTAGAGAACTAAATCAGACTTTGCAACAGAAAAGAAATTGCATTTTAGCTACAGCTTTGTGAGTGATAGGAAAAGAATACATCTTTCATTTATTCCCTCCCCCAACAATTAGATTTCTTGATAGAGACATAAAAATATTTTTTTTATTTAAATCTTGAATTTGGGGGACAAGCTTTTTAAATAAAGGCCTAATCAATGCTAAATCAGAGGTATTTAAAACATCTACAAATTTAATCCAAAGTGGATACTTAAAAGCTCATATAGATCTAAATGATGTTCTCCCAGATGGTGAATTAATGTAATTTTAGCAGGAAGCAAAGTTGCACAAATATGCAGTATGGAGGACTCACACTGATTTAACGTACCGTACCCACCACAGCGCAGATGTTGCTTGTCATTTCGCTGCCAGTTGTCTCTGTTTCTCTCCATACTACACACTGACGAGTGGGATTTGGGAGTTCAGTAAATTATGATTTATTTTGTGACTAATGACTTGTTAGACATTGAAGCTTTCTATGCACTGTGTATAGAAATCACATTGGTTTTATTTTTTTATACAGGGTTTGAAAGGTGACCTGGGTCCTCGTGGTCCACCTGGCCTGAAAGGAGAAAAGGTATCATATTCACCTAGAAAAATGCCAATCTTTTCCTAAAAAAAACCCGGAGAACCTGTGCAGTGACTTTTCATTGATGCTATTTAACTGCCAAAAGTTAATTTTGTTAAAATTAACCAAAAGCTGTTATGTTAAAAGCATCTGAACAAGAAAAACCTTTTTGGTTCATTTAATTAGTTTGAAGAGACTAAATGCACAATTGCTAGTCCACATTAATTTGTGTTTATAAGATTTTCCTTTTCCCTCTCTTGCTTAACAGCATTAGGTATTCCATCACCAAATTAGCAACCGTGTCCTGTATCAGGGAACTTTGCCAGTAGCACTGAGCTGCTACTGTAATGGTGAAGCAGGTGGCCTTGGGGGAAAGGAGGCTAATTTTGTATCTCAGTCTTAGTCTAAATGCTCCATTTCCTGCCACCTCTTCTTGTATGCCGTGTTATAATGGCATATTGGCAATTGACCTTGAAAAGAGAATTAAGAAATAGTAAACGCAAGAGTCATTCGGCACAAGGTCATTGGATGGTCCCAGTTTAATGAGAATTGTGTGTGTGGGTGTTCTGCACTGTATTTTGTTCTCCACCCTCAGCACATTTAGAAATCCTTGCCTGTCTTCAATATTTACCTCTGCATTAAAGCCGGTCCTGCAAATCCTTCCTCAGTGAGTGAATTTAGCTGCATCAATGTTTCTTAACAATGATTGATTATTTGTATGCAGTTGTTCCCCCAAATAATGATTACACAATGCTAAGTTTTAACTTTCGAGGTGACTGTATTAGATGAGAAAAGAGAAAGTTATAGAGATACAGTCATCCCTCGCTACTTCGCACTTCGACTTTCGCGGTTTCACTCTACTGCGGTTTTTTCAAATATACTCATTAAAAAGTTGATCGAGACAGTGAAAATGATACAGCATGTGCTTGGTTGTCTGAGTCAATTATACACCCCTGTATTACAACTAAAATTAAAATTACTGTATGGATGGACTGTAGACCTATGTATTCGAGCACCCCAGGAATCCTTCAATGCCAGGTGCAACCTCTAGAGTCTGGAACGGATTAACCGCGATAAATGAGGGACGACTGTACTCTTCATGAGAATACGAGGTCCCTGTGCCCCATGCTACAGAGCGTATGATCTCCATCATGTCCACTTAAACAAGGATCATATCTGTGACCCTTGGTATTAATGACTATGAGTTCTTATGAATTAAATAGGGGAGCAGATACAATAAGGCATATATGTGACATATTTCTAAATCAGAAAGCAGTAAACTTTTAGATGAACATTTTTTAAAGCTTTTGACTAGTTTGTCAATACATCCACCTGGTAATTTGTATTCACATACATCAGCAAAGCAATTTTAGTATTTAAAAATACATAAACATAGGCAAATCCTCTTACAATTGATGACAAGTGCAATGCCAATTCAGCAGAGCATTAGAAGAGGCAGTGGGACCACTTCTTGCAGCTGGGAGGCATGACGTGGGGACATCCATTTATTATTTCTGCTGATCCTCATACTAACTTTGTCAGAAAAATTGTTCGTCGTTGTGACACTTCCCAGCTGCTCCATTGGCAAGTAATCATATTTGAAGAGATAGTCTTTCTAATTTTGGATTAGTAGACAAAAGAATAGAAATTAGATTATTTTAGCCTTTCAAAACAACTTTTGCAAGCATGGGGGTACACCAGGTGATATTTATATCATGAGAGCTAAAAGCACATGATACATTTTTTATTGTGCAGCGACTTATCAAGATAAACTTCTATTTCTTCTTTCTTTAAGATTTTTCTTGCTATTGCTTCTATCCATTCATAAAATTTATAAATATAATGTGTAAAAAAGAGACTGTTGGTAATTGCACCTTTTCTTTAATTTATGCTAGGGAGATACAGGACCTCCAGGACCACCAGCCTTAACTGTAAGTATTCTTGAAATAAAAATGTAAAATTGAAATATGTCATTCTATTTATTATTTACACAACATCATAAGTAAACCAGAATTTAAGCCATAGGGTATTTTGAGAGTTGATAGTGACCTCAGTATGGATCTAGCCAAACCTCCAAACATTAAAGATGGGGCATCTACTCACAATAGTGAAGTACATAAGCTGAGGTTATATGGGTAGTTACTAGAAAAGTCTAGAAACACTGCCTATCCAGAGCAATTTTCTCTACCTTCCATATGATTCATAATTTTACCCCTTCAATGTTTGATTAGACATTCTTTTCTTTTTAAATTTTTTTCCTTATTTGTTTTTTAGAGAGAGGAAGGGAGAGAGAGATAGAAACATCAATGAGAGAGAATATCAATTGGAGAATATCAATATGCATGCCCCCCACTGGAGATCGGGCCCACAACCTAGGCATGTGTCCCAACCGAGGATCAAACCAGAGATCTCTTGGGAATTGAACCAGAGATCTCACTGAGCCACACCAGCCAGACTGATTAGGCATTCTTAACATGACACTTAAAGTTAATGGAAGCAGAGACCGTTCAACTTACTCTATAAATTGTAAAAGGACAAAATAAGCCATAATTACCCAGTGCTAAAAACAGCTACCTATTTAAGTGGATAGTTACGTTCCACCAAACTTGTCCAAGACCATTGCATTTTTTCTATATAATTTGCTTTTAATATTTGCAAATGATAAAATGGTGGTATTTCAGTAACAGATATATGAGAAAAGTTTATAATGGGCACATAATTGGATTATTCTCATTTAAATGGTTTATCATTTATTAAGAATTTAACCATAAATATGTAATCTTTTCTATTTAGATACAATGTACTATTATAGATTTTGTTCATAGGTCATTAAGGATTCTCATTTAACTTAAAGATTTGGTGTAAGAATGACTCTAAGCCTAATGGAAAAGAAGAAAAATTTTTGAATAAGATCATCTGTAGCCTGAAGTCTCTCAAATTTAATTTTGGTATTACCTAATGACATAAGTTAAGAATTTAAGTCATCAGTTTTCAAAGACATGTCCTGATTCTAGAAGGTTATGTTTGAAGAAGTCCTAGCATCTGGACAGAGCCCTTCTCAAAAGAAGAGCACAAGGATCTGAAGGCTGTGTGGCTTTGATGACATTTACATGTCTATACTTGAAAATGTTACTCTGAGCAATGCCTTAGTAATGTCTTACACAAACAGTCTTTGCAATGCTTACTTAAAGGACAACTATTTATTTATGCATGAAAAGTCTAAGGGACCAAAGAGATAAATGATTTAGGAATACCCAAATTCAACTTGTAATGGAATACTGTGCTTGAAGCTTTTGTTTTCAAGATGGAAATAAAAACTGTTTATTTAGAGGAAGTTTAAACTGTGTATTATTCCATTTATGTACTATGCGGAGTTTATTCTTTTAATTATTTGGCAGTGATTTAGGGTTACGCCTGCCCATTGTACTTAGGTCACATGCTTGTTTTTCTTCAACTAAGCTGTTTGCTCAACCACTTCATTTAGTTATCTGATTTACTAGTTGTTCTCAACTTGTGTTTGAAGGCCAAAGTGAAGTTTATGTGTATCATTCACCTGATAGTCAGTTTTGACTCTGCAGCCAGGAAATTGTACTGGACTGTATCCATTTCGCGGATTTTTAATGACAGCTGACGTCTTCCTGCCAAGCAGCACCCTGTGTCTCTCTGCACTATTTAGCTGGCAGATACTGGGAGAACAAGCTAATTTTTATACTTATCTAAAGATATGTTAAGGCAAAAAGACAGTGAAATGAAATGTTTTATCTCATAAAGTAAAATATCAGGATTATTTGGGTATAACTATCTGTATACTTGCCATTCCTTTATTAATGTAGATAATCAACTGTTAACTATGAAATAAGGATGAACGTAAATGAATGGCAAATTACCGTGCACTAAATATTTCATTGATCTTATCATTGCAGATTGATACATTTTAATGAAGTGATTGATAACAGCCTTCAAGGAGGCCACAATGACTGACTCCACTATATTTCAATGAAATGAGGCACCAGTATAGAGGAGTCGATAAACTTAGAGTTTATCCACAGTGGTTCTCAAAGCTTGCTGCACACGAAACTCCATGGAGACCTTTAAAACATACCATTGTGTGCCTCCACCCCCAGAAATGATAACTCAAAAGATATGATGTGGAACCAGTATATTTAAGAAGCTCTCTGGGTAGTTACATATGCAGCTGGAGTTGAAAGCCACTGTTTATGGGCACTGTAAAGGAACAAGCTTTTTTCCTACTCGGAAAATTCCTTTAGACATTTGAAGAAGTCTGGCTTTCCTCTTAAATTCAACTTAATGTATGGTAATAAAGAAATATCTCTTTCTATTAAGGAGGCATAGTAGTAACACTAAATTAAGATTGAAGCCTGCTTGGTTAAGTGGAGATTAAGGCTAGGAAGGTACCTTTAATTATAGCCTGAACCTGGCCATTCAAGGACTCCTGTGTGTTCAGTGCCTTAAGACATCTCAAAATTGAATGAGCATAGGGGCCTAAGGGTCTTGCTCAAATGCATATTTCATTCCGTAAGTCTGAGCTGGGGGCCTGAGATTATACATTTGTAACAAGAGGATGCGGCTGCTGCTGGTCCACACTTGGAGCCACAGGGTTTAATATCCAATCCCCCGTTGTGCCGCAGACTCTGCTTCATTCCATACATCAGTGCTTTGCCACCCGCACTGCACATTAGAATCACTTGAGGTGCTTTAAAACCTCGAATTCCCAGGCTGCAACCTATGCCCAAAACATCAGAATCTCTGGTTGGTTTACATTTTCCGCCAGCACTTCAGTGTGCAGCCGAGTATGAGAACTAAGGTTCTAAAGGTGTGTCGAAGACTTTTCTCCACAGCTTCCTCTTTCAGAGTTTGAGCAAACGTGTTAGAATTACTCATTACCTTTGTATTTGTATCAAAAATACCCAACCTGATTACTTTCAGAAGTGCTTCCAGGAAATTGCAGACTCTCTATCAATACCTGTGATTTGGTCCTTGGTTGCTTCAGTATAGAGGATGAACTTCCATCTCACCATTTATAACCCACTAGCTTGGCATCAACAGTCTTGTCTTGAGCAGAACACAGCATTGGCAAGTCCAGCACATAGAACCCCAGAGACTAAGCATGCAGACCTGAACTACCCTGAATAAATAAGAAAAAAAGTTGGAGACTTTTTTCCATTCTAAAATATACATACTACATTTATTCTACTATTATTCGTATATTGCTTAACAAGAAATTGAGACACATAGTAATTGAAACCACTGAAACATCGAGTTCACTGATGCAGGGCAATCCTTTTGGATACAAAACACTTTTATGAAGAATTGTGTTTATCACTGGCATTTTTGTGTCCTTAAGAATTACCAAGCTTTGGCTATTATTTAAAATTTTTTAAATCATGTAGAACCATTTCATTTCAGAAATCCAATATATAAAACAATTTATCTGGTTTAATTAAATGTTCCTTTGTTTCTTATGTATGTCTTTTCTTAGAACTGGTTGTATATAATTGGGTCTCAGTGAAGGAGATGAATAAAGGAGTAAGAAAGGCTGAGCGTAGAAAGAATAAGGAAGGGTAAAGGTGAGGAAATGGTATGAAACATAAGCCAGAGGCCTTGAAACAGTTTTTCATTAATTAGACTTAACTGCAACAGCTCTTACTCTTTATTTCACCTTTCTCCTTCACACTACCTGGAAGTGTTCTTATTGCCAGTGACCAGTACCACCTTACTTCACTCTCCAATATATAGAGGCTGTAGCAGTGTGTACTAAGCTCCCTTATTATTTGAAGAAATGAAATCCCATTTAAAATTCTACAATGGAGTCCTGGCCGGTTTGGCTCAGTGGTCAGAGCATCAGCCTGTGGTCACGAGAGACCTGGGTTCAGTTCCCACTAAGGGCATGTACCTCGGTGCAGTTTGTCCCCGGCCCTGGTTGGGTCATGCAGATGGCAGTCACTCCATGTGTTCCATTCATGTCGATGTTTCTCTCTCTCTCTCTCTCTTCCTCTCTCTCCCTCCCACTCTATCTGAACAAGAAAATGGAAGTGTTCTCAGGTAAGGATAAAAAAAAAACATTCCACAATGGAATCCATTTGATAGCATTTGAATCTTTCTATAGATTTATATTCATATATGATATAGAGAGAACTCCAAAGTGACTGCTTCAAAAAAGAAAGATAAAAGGAAGGAGGAGAAGGAAGAGAAGGGGGAAGGGAAGGAGGGAGGGAGGGAGGGAAGAAGGAAGGAAGGAAGGAAGGAAGGAAGGAAGGAAGGAAGGAAGGAAGGAAGGAAGGAAGGAAGGAAGGAAAAGGAACCAGGAGGAGGGAGACATTCACTTCATTATCTAGCTCAGAAACAAGAAGACAATTAAGAGATTAAAGTAAAGGGTGAGGATCTCTTGCTAGGCATATTTTCAACAATCAGCTGGTTGAAAAAAAAATTTAATTAAATCACTTTGATGTATTTGCAGCTTTTTTGGATAGCAAATTCACCAATTAGTTTAGTTCTAAATTAACTATTGTTTAAACATAATAAGCTATTATAATAGCTTACAATAAGTGCAGTATTAATGTTTTAAAGAAATGAGATATTCAAAACTGATTTAAACTAATCAATTGATCATTCTTTATCGTTTTTTATATATCAAACATAACTATTTTTAAAAACAACACATATTATGTCCTAAGTAATAACAATAATAACAATAATAAATGACAAACATTTATTGGGTACTTACTTTGTGTTATCTAAACCATTCTTTAAACAACTTTGTGAGATAGAAAATTATTATTACCACATAACAGGTGGAGGAACTGAGGACTAGAAAATCCATGTAACTTACCCAGGATTCCAGAGATGATAAGTGACAGAGCTTATATTCAGATACCTACCTGTTTCGCTCTAAAACTTAACCTTGTTTTTT